AGAGAAAGACTCTGCTCTCTCACACAGTCAGTGAAACTTCCCGGAGCCCGTCCTTTGCACCAGGCCCTGAGCTGGACACAAAGGCCTGGCACGTGGGCCTACTAGAGGAAGTGTGGATACAACTGGTGGTGGAAGACAGACCCAGGTCATTATGACTTTATCACCTTGATCGGGTCTACGACAGAAGGAAGCAGAGGGAGCCCCAAGTGCCCAGAGGATGCTACCACCCAGACCGGGAAGGCTCTTCAGAGGGGTGACAGAAGCTAGTGGGTGAGGGGTTATGGCACAGAGCACAGGCCAAGTGCTCCAGGGATCCGGTAAGATGACACCCAGACTAAGTACGGGGGGAGGGGTGGGGGGGTTCCAGGCAGTCAGCAGGGAGGCAAGGAGAGAGGAACAAGACTCAGGAGTAGATGGGTGACAGGTGAAGCTATGGGCACAGCAAATGAAGATGACACATTCAAGAAGCCACAGAGAGGGGCGCCGGGGTGGCTCAATCGGTTCAGTGTCCAACTTCAGCTCAGGTCATGATCTCATGGTTTGTGGATTCAAGCCCCGCGTAAGGCTCTGTGCTGAAAGCTCAGAGCCTGGAGCCTGCTTCAGATTCTGTGTCTCCCTCTCTCTGCCCCTCTCCTGCTCTCTCTTTAAATAAAAAAGCCAGCGATATCCCAAAGGCAGAAATATAAAAGTAAAACTAAAGACCTCTAAAAGAAAACAGAAAATTTTTGTGATCTTGAGTTAGACAAAGAATTCTTAGATATGACTCCCAAAAAGTGATCCATAAAAGAAAAAACTGATAAGTTGAACTTTACTACTACTACTAACAATAAAATAAAATAAAAAGACAAGTGTCAGACTGGGAGAAAATATTTGCAAATTATATGTATCTGATAAAAGTGTTTTATACGGAATCCATAAAGAACTTTCAAAACTCAATTATATAATTTTGCAATATATACAAATATTTGATTATGTCATACACCTGAAACTAACATAATGTTATAAGTCAATTACATCTCAAAAACAAACAAACAAACAACCCCTCAATTATAAGAAAACTACAAAGGCTTCCTAGCTGGCTCAGTCAGAACAACATCCAACTCTTGATCTCAGGGCCATGAGTTTGAGACCACATTTTAAAACAAATTTTTTTTTAACATTTATTTATTTTTGAGACACAGAGAGAGCACAAGATGGGGAGGGGCACAGAGAGAGGGAGACACAGAATCTGAAACAGGCTCCAGGCTCTGAGCTGACAGCACAGAGCCCTATGCAGGGCTTGAACCCACGGACCACGAGATCATGACATGAGCCAAAGTTGGACGCTTAACCGACTGAGCCACCCAGGCGCCCCCAGTTTGAGACCACACTGGGTATAGAGACCATTTTATTTTTTTTCAAATGTTTATTTTTGGGTGGGGGGAGAAGGAGAGTGGAGGAGGAGCAGAGAGCAAGGGAGACAGAAGATCCGAAGTAGCCTCTGCACTGACAACAGAGAGCTCAATGTGGGGCTTGAACCCACAAATCATGAGATCATGACGTAAGCCAAAGTCTGACAATTAACAGACTGAGCCACCCAGGCACCCGAAGTGTAGATATTACTTTTAAAAAAATTAAAATAAAAATTTTTAATTCAAAAATAAAAAACCAAAACAACCTGGTACAATATTGGGCAAAAGATCTGAACAGACACTTCACAAAGAAGATGTATGAATGGTGAATAAGCACATGAGATGTTGTTCAACATCATTAGTCATTACACAAATGCACACTAAAGTCACAATAAACACATCTGGTAAAGCAGCTAAAATTTAAAAGACTGACAAATAGCAAGGGTTAGTGAAGATGGGGAGGAATCAGTAACTTACACTACTGCTGGGAATGTAAAATGGTACAACCCCTTTAAAGAATAATTTGGAAGCTTCTTTAGAAGTTAAACACACCTCCTACAATGGGATCCAGCCATTCGGTTCCTAAGTATTTACCCATAAGAAAAGGGAATGCATATCCGGACAAACACTTGTACACAAATGTTCACAGCAGCTTTCTGTGTTAGCCGCAGACTGGACAAAACCCAGATGTCCTTCTTCAAGGGGTAAATGTTGAACAAACTCCAGCACATCACACTATGTACACCACAACAATAAAAAGAAATGAACATTTTTTAAAAAAGTTTTTTTATTTATTCTTGAGAGAGAGATCGCGTCAGTGGGGAAGGGGCAGACAGAGAGGTAGAGAGAGGATCCCAAGCAGGCTCTGCGCACCAGCACAGAGACCAATGCAGGGCACAAACTCACACCACCACGAGACCATGACCTGAGCCAAAACCAAGAGTCGGACACTTAATCAACTGAGCCACCCAGGCGGCCCAAGAAATGAACTTCTGATGCATGCAACAACATGAATGAATCTCAAACTATTAAAATGGGTGAAAGTCAGATCAAAAAAAGAAACCCACATAGTGTTTGAATCCATTTGTAGAAAATTCTAGAAAATGCAAACTAATCATGCAGCCACCGAAAGCAGACTAGTGGATGCTGGGACAGGAGAGGAGAGGAAAAGAGACAGGAGAAAGGGATTAAAATCAGGAACAAGGACGCTCTCGGGGGTGATGGAGAGGATATATTCATTATCTTGCTTCCGGTGACTAAAAGGCAGAGCCAATATTCACTTGTTTGTTCCACAAATACATATTGACCTACTATGTGCAAAACCCTGTGTTCTCGGCACCGGAGACGCAGCAGGGACAACACAGTCCCTGGCCTCACCGGGCTCACGGTCTGGTGGCAAGACCAACACTAAACCTGATAAACAAATGGAAGCCACAGAGAGAAATATCCTCAGGGCAACAGACAGGTTGACAAGGCAGGAACACTATGTGGGGGGCAGTGAGAAAAGGGGGCCTCTGAGCGGGCGGCAGTTAGGCTGACTGGAGAGGTCCCTCTTGTCATCGTGTGCCCCCTGCCCCTCGGAGGCTGCCCCTCCCAGGTGCTGCTGCCCCTTCCTGCTCCGCCCGGCGCAGCCTCAGCTGGGTTGCCCGGCTTTGCCAGATTCCAGGCCTCTCTCTGCAGCTCGGCTCTCTTAGCCATAAAGCGTGGAATCAGGGTTGAGCTCCCACATAGTCGGTGCCCAGCCAAGGGGGCCTCTTGCCTTGGCTCGGCTGGATTTGGGGACAGGCAGAACAGAAATGTCAATGGCAGGAAAACAGGGTTCTCAGGAGCCCAGCTGGCCTCTCCTGATAGACACCCTAGAGGGCCCACCCCTCTGGGTTTAGGGTGGCCTTCAGGAGAGGGGGCAGGGATTGCAATGGGGGCACCTTTCTTAAGCAGGGCTTGCGGGGTGCCTCCGGGAGGACAGCTCTGGCCTCCTGCTTCTCCCAGGGCGGGGGACAGGCCAGGTTGGCCCGAGGCCCAGAGGAGCAGGGCGGGAGGTCATCGTAGGGGGGCCTGCTTGGCCCTCTCTCTGGACACAATGTCCTGGACTGCTCCACAACTTGGCTGGCCGACAGGGAACAGTAGCTGGCAGAGGGTACGGGCAGCTGGCCGACTGGGGGTGGGGAACAGCCTGGCCTGAGCAAAGGGCTTCTTCGTACAACCTGACCCACCACGTTGGGCCAGGAGAGGACCAGCCTGTCTGTGAGAGAGACACGGGGGCCTGGTGCCCTGCTGAGGACCTCAGCCATTCTTCCCTACCGCGTGCCTCAGTTTCCCCATACCACTCCCAACTGCCATCGCTTGAGCTAAGTCCTACCTAAGTACAGAACCCTGCAAATGCTGGCCCTGCCCCTTCCTGCCGTGACCTTAGGCAGTTACCACCTCTCTGAGACTCAGATTTTCACCTGAAAAACAGGACTTATTTCTCTGGGCTGGAATGCAGGGAGAGCATTTAGGATGGTTACGCTCACGCCTCACGGAGGAAGCACGCTTGATGGAACAGTTGAGCTATAATTACATTAATAAGCTACCATAACAACCTTTATGCAGTGAAGGCTCCCAGTGTGTCAGGAACTTTACCTACATATCTGTGAACCCCTGCAGCAGCGCTAAAGGCAGGCTGTATCACCTTCATTTTATTTCAGTTTTTACTTTTTTATCGTTTCTCTATTTTTTTTATTTTTTAAATATTTTATTTATTTTTGAGACAGAGACAGAGCATGAGAGGGGGAGGGGCAGAAAGGCAGGAAGACATAGAATCCGAAGCAGGCTCCAGGCTCTGAGCTGTCAGCACAGAGCCCGACATGGGGCTCAAGCCCACGAATGTAAGATCACGACCTGAGCCGAAGTCGAAGTCTTAACAGACTGAGCCATTTTGGCGCCCCTGTTTCTCTATTTTTGAGAGAGACAGAGTGAGAGCCGGGAAGGGGCAGAGAGAGAGGGAGACACAGAATCTGAAGCAGGCTCCAGGCTCTGAGCTGTCAGCACAGAGCCCGATACGGGGCTCGAACCCGCAAACTGCGAGATCATGACCCGAGCTGAAGTCAGGAGCTTAACCAACTGAGCCACCCAGGCGCCCTATCACCCTGATTTTATATGTGAGGACTGAGCTTTAAGAAGCAAAGGAACACAGCTGATATTAGGAGCAAGCGGCTCCCCACCCCTGTAGGAAAAAGGGTAAGAGTAAACCCGTGGGGAATCTCTGAGGCCAAGCGGAAGCAGGGAGGGCCTGAGGGGGGTCCTGGGAATTCAGCAGCTGAACCCAGAGGCCATGCTCACATCCCACAGGACACTCCTGGTAGAGTCCAAACTACATCCAGGTATACGAGCCAAGGTGCCCGAAAAAGGCTGACGGACAGTTGTGGGGACAGATCTGTTCATTCATTTAGCAAATATTGATAGAGGGAAATACAGTCTGGACCAGACTGCCAGACTTTGGACTCAGATACAATATCCTGTGAGGTGTGTGTCCTGGAGGTATGGTGACTCCCAGTTTTCCCAGTGAAAGTGCTGTGTCCCAGGAAACCCCTCGGTCCGGGGCAAACCAGGACAGTTGGGTGACCCTACCTGGAAGAGTTACTCAACCTCCTTCCTGGTTTCTTCAACTGTAAAGGGACACCAATTCTCACCTGTTGGAAGGTAAAATGAGCATAAAGCCGTGGGCTCACAGTCCAGGCGGGAGGAGAAGGGGGTGGGTGTGACCATCCCTATTTTGCAGATGAAGGGACTGCGGCCCCCACTGAAGCGGAGCAGCACCCAGAAGGCCTGGGCAGATACTTCTCTTGTCCCAAAATCTGAGCTTAGAAGCTACCAGACAAGGCCCCCTGTGCGGCACCGCCCTCCAGGACCAGCCCTGCCCGCAGCTGTGGGCCAGGCCAGAGGGCAGGCATGGACCATGTGTTCCCTGGGCAAAGGCCAAGGTCCACAGGGAGCCGACTGGCCCAGTGGGGCACTGCCTAGGAGCCCAAGGCTAGGTTCAGGTCCTGCACTGAGCCAGGTCTTAGGGGAGGATTGGGACAGTTCACAGTTCCCTTGCTAAGTACTCAGCAGGTGCTGACATGCCCTCAGTCCTCCCCTACAACACTAGAAGGAGGGCCCATGAGCAGCCCCACTTTATAGGTGGGGATACTGAGGCTCTAAGAGGTGAAGTCTACCCAAGGTGACCCAGAGGGTAAGGGGAGGAACCAGTCACCATTAGGTACCACTGCCTGACTTTAGAATTCAAGATACATTGTGGCCCAGGCACAGTGGGTTGAAGGGGCGGGGGGCTATGGAAGGCTCCTGGGGCAGGGCACCTCCAGGGCCCCTAAGGTCGTGGCGAGGGAGGGAACCTTAGCACCGAGGAGGAGCCGAGGCGGGGCCGAGGCTCCCACACAGTCTGGACTCCCCTGGAAGCCCAAGGATCCTAGCCAGCGCGGTCACCCCCATTCCCGCAGGCACCCACCTTGCTGGGCCTCGCCAGACAGCGGCCTCAGTTTACCCTTTGGCCTTAAGCAGAAGGGAAGGTTGTGGGGCCACGCAGGACCCCGCCCAGGGAGGGGCCGGGGCCTCTCGTTTCTTGGCCCCCAACCCCAGCGGAGGCGGGAGGGGGAGGGGACGTTGCGTAACGGGCGGCGCGGGGGGCGGGGCGGGACAGGGCAGCCAATAGGGGCGGTCCCTCCTAGGACTAGCCTGGCTGTTCCGTCCTCAGGCATCAGAACAGCCCCCTGCGCGCCCGCCGAGCCTGCGCGTGCTGGGTGTGGGGGCGGGGGCCGAGCGGCCACCTGGGGCGAGCGAGGTTGGGGGAGCCCGCGGCGCGGGTGCAGGGGCTGAGGCCGCTCCCCGGCGGGCGAGCCTTGCAGCCCAGAGGCCCGCCCCCGCTGCCTCCCGGGACCGGAGTTCGCCGCCCGGACCCTCCTTCCCAGGTCCCGGCCCGCGCAGCCCCTCTGCGCTGCCGCTGGTCAGGCGACGTCACACCCCGCGTCCCGGAGCAACCACCTCCTCCTCCAAGGTCACCCGGGACCTGCGGGAGCTCCGGGCCCGCGCCGCCCCTTCCACGCCGAGCGCGTCTGCCTCCCCCGCTCCCCGGCGGCGGTTGCTGCCTCCCTCCGCTCGCACTTACTTCATCCGGCCTGGCCTCGCTGTTATTTATATCCGCGTCTGGCTCCCCAGCAGACGGCTGTGACGGGAGGCGGCGGCGGTGCCGGCCTGGGGGCCCGCCCGCCGGGTGCAGCGAATGCCCGCGGCCCGGGGGTCCGCCTTTGGCCAGCAGGCGGAGGGAGGGACCCCCTCGCCGAAGCCCCTAGCCTAGCCTGCTCGCCTCCGCCTGGGAAAAGGAGGCAAGGCTGCGGGCAGCTGCCGCCCCTCCAGGCTGGCACTGGCTGTCCCCCCCTGCCCCGGGCCAGGGCGTCATCTCGGGCTTCCATGCCGCAGCCAGGATCGTGGCCACTGGGCGGCTGCTTACCAGTGGAGTTCCACACCAGTGCCCTCTGAGTGGGCCTTCTGGTGATGAGGCCTGGGACACAGCATTTGAAACAGGCTCCCTAGGGGAATCTTGGGCTTCTTAAGGCTTGGGAGCTATCTTGGGGTTGCTTTTCGGGGAGGGAGGAAGCAAACAGCAGGAGAGGTGGCAGGCTGGGACTGCGCCTGCTTTGATTTGATGGGCAGGATGCAGAGATAGGCCAGAACAAGTGAGGGGTCTACTCTTGGGGGAGGTTAGACTAGGGTCTGTGGCCAGATACTGTCTGAATTGTGGCCCCCACACCACAGACAAAGCCCTTTAATGCCTCCTAAGGGATACGGTAGATCCCACCATTCTCCAGCAACTTTGCAAAGTGGGCCTTGTCCCTACTTTCCAAGGCCTAGAGAGGGGATGTGACTTGGACAAAGTCCACGGCGAGCGATGAGCAGGGTCAGGACCCAAGTGAATTCTTCATCCAAGCACTAGCTCGGCCCTGGCGCAAAGGAAGATATACAATAGGGCTCCTACCCTAGAGGAGTTGTGGGTCCAGAAGAGAGGTGGGCAGCAACCACAGCAATCAATCCCGATCACAGTCGCAGGCTGATGAGCACTGACAGCTGAGCTGTGAAGGATGAATAGGAGTTTCCCAGGAAGATACACGAGGGGGCATTCCAGGCAGCAAGAACAGCTTGTTCAACTGCTAGGGGCCCGAAATAGCAATCGCTGTAGGGATCTATGAGCAGCTTGAGGCTGAGGCTTAGAGTGCGTCCGTGCTGAGAGATGAGGCTGGATGTGCAGGAAAAGCCTCAACCAGGCCAGGAGGCCTGACTTTGTCCTGAGTGCATGGGTCCAGGAAGTCCATAGAGGAGGGGGGACGTAGGAGAGGGATGGGAGGAGGCCCTTGGGTAGTCGAGGTGGCAGGGTCTCCTTTCCAGACTTTCCCTGTGTCCTCATGGCACCCCTTCTTTCCCCCAGCCCTCACACGCACCCTGGCTTCACCTTAGCTCTCAGCAGCTCAAGCTGGGGACTGTCAGGGGATACTGAACCCCATCCCCACTGGGCATGATTTGCCGGCTGTGAGGGCTAGAAGAAGTGATGCTTTCTCCCTGAATCTCAGTTTCCTCATCTATAAAATGGGGCCAGTCTCTCCTCGGGGTCAGAGTGAGATGCAGAGGTGAAGGTTGTCAGAGAAGCGTGTTTATTTTGAACAATGTCAAGCACAATGCTAGGCATTTGCTCCCCCTGACCTCCATCCACGTGAAACTTCTCACCATGTGCTTCCTCATCCCTTGCCCACCAGACTTCAGGAACCACCACCTGAGAGCCAGCACTGCCGGCCTCAAATTCTGGAGCTGCCAAAGCTCTTAAAGTTGGGGCCTCCATTTTTTCAGATGCAAAATGGAATGCTCCCAAGTGTTGGGCGAGGAGGGACCCCCGGCAGCCCCTCTTGCCCAGGACGACCCAGGCTGGCTCTCCCCGAACACAAACAGAAAGGGCAATTCGGGACCCCCTCCCCCCTTCCCTCCCCTCTGCCACCCCAGGCCCTGCCAAGGACATCCTGTGCCCTGGTGATGTCACCAGGCCCTGGGAGCTGGGGCTGGCTGGAGCTAACAGCACTCAGACAGGATTTATTTTTAAACTCTCAGCAAGATCAGCTCCCTGTCCCCTCCGTATCCCACCCCACCTCACCCCCCCCAGCTGTCTCCCATATCCCAGCTGAGCCCCCAGGCCATTCCTTGGAGGTTTTCCCCACACACTGTTTCTGCCCCCGCCAGCCTTCTGAGGGGGGAGAGCCCACAGTGTCATCAGTCAAGTGTCTCTGATCACCAAATCCAGACCCTGCCCTTCAGATGGGCCCCTGAAGGTGGACCCCAGCCTTCTCTGCCTCCTGAAGCCCCAAGGGGACAAGGGACTTGCCCAGGGGGCCACAGCTAGGCTCAGGTCATGATCTCTTGGTTCACAAGTTCGAACCCCGCATCAGGCTCTGTGCTGACAGCTCAGAGCTGTCATTTTTAAAAAATGGCTTTTTACCTGCAGGCCTCAAGGCTTTCTTGATGCCATGCAGCTCAGAAAGCTGCAGGAATAGACTGGGTGCTAAGGGTAGCTCCTGGCATCACAACCCTCACCAACATCCCAAGTGGGATGTGTGTCCATCACAACTGTCACGCATTTACCCTCTCAAGTGACTAATTTTTTTAGTGTTTATTTATTTGAGAGAGAGAGACAGAGACAGAGACAGAGCATGAGTGGGGACGGGGCAAAGAGAGAGGGAGACACAGAATCAGGCTCCAGGCTCCGAGCTGTCAGCACAGAGTCTGATCCGGGGCTCGAACTCACAAACTCTGAGATCATGACCTGAGCCGAAGTCAGCCGCTTAACCAACTGAGCCACCCAGGTGTCCCTCAAGTGACTTTAGATTAAGGATCTGTCAGGACCCTGAGCTTAGAAATTTATGCTGATGAAGCATCCCTTTTTTTTTTTTTAATGTTTTTTTTATTTCTAGGAGAGAGAGAGAGAGAGACAGCGTGTGCAGGGGAGGGTCAGAGAGAGAGGGAGACACAGACTCTGAAACAGGCTCCAGGCTCTGAGCTGGCAGTCAGCACAGAGCCTGATGCGGGGCTCAAACCCAAGAACCGCGAAAGTCGGACACTTAACAGACTAAGCCACGCAGGCGCCCCTGATGAAGCATCCCTTTTATCAGTTTCATATGTCGGCCTTTTGGGTAAGATTGTGGTTGAAAATGAGATTCTACTGGAAAAATCCATCTGACAATGGCAGCTTTGACGACTCTATCCTCACAGCTGCCCTGGGAGGCTGGGCAAGGCCAGAGGCCTCCTGGAGCAAAGGCAGGAAACCAAGCTCGAAGGGGAAGAGTGACTTGTGCAGTGGCTGGAATCCAGAGTCCTTCTGTCCTCTAGTGCGTGTGAGGTGAGGTGAACCTACCCTGCCCAGCCCAGCCTAGAGTCAGTGGTCTCAGACACCCCTGCAGCCCACAGTGACTAGCAAGAACAAGCCCATTTCTTGACTGTTCACTTCAGTGCAGTGCAGACTCTGGATCCAGGGAGACTCAGTTTGAAACCTATCTATTTCTGAGCTGTGTGATCTCAGGCAAGTCACTTCACCTCTCTGTGCCTCATTTCCTCCCCTGAAAAATGGGGATAATAATACAATGCAATTCTAGTTGTGGGAATTGCTTTGAGAGACTGCCTGAAAAGCACTGGGCACAAGTCTGGATGCTTAGTGAGTACTAAACTGACAGCAGATATTATTATTATTATTATTATTATTATTATTATTATTATTCCTAGGCAAATGATCACTGAATCTTCACCTTGAAGCTAGGCCTGGAAGGTTGGCATCTTCAGACAGTGTGTGGGCAGAGCCACCAGGAGCTGGGGCACAGCTAGCCCAGCTGGCTTGGGAGAAAGACCTGTAGAGAAAACGTGGCGGGATGGGGGTGGGTGTGTGGACAGAGGCCAGAATGGGCTCAGGAACCCCCCCAAACCTCAGCAGCCTCTCTGTCTTCTATCATTACCACCACCACCACCCTCATCTCCCCAGGGGGTCACTTGAGTGAAAAGAGCAAGAGCCAGGTGGCCAGGCAGATGGCTTGTCACCGGGAGGGTGAGGAGCCAAGAAATAGAGCCTGTGCCTCCCTTCCCTTACCCACACCCCAGTGTGTGTGCAGAAAGTCGCCAGGGCTGGGTTCCAGTCCCTTATACTGTGGGATCTTAGCCAAGTCAGTTCATTTCTCTGAACCTCAGTTTTCTCCTCTGTGAAATGGGCATAAAGGTATCCTCAGGAGCTTCTGTGAAGATGTAATGGACAGGTGTGTAAAGTATCTGGCACACAGTATGTGCTTAATCATTTTATCTCTTGAGAAGAGAGCCAGGCTGACTCTCTGCTTAAAGAAGTGGGCAGGCTGGAGACAGGCCCCTCCAACTCCACCCTGGGCCCCTCACCCACAGGAAGTCCACAGCCTCGCTGACAGGATTGAGAGTGAGGGCCTGGGGGGGGGGGGGGAGCTGAATGCAAATGTATGCAAATCAGGCAGCACAAGTGCCCTTGGGGAGATGGAGAGAGAAGATTCAGCCACCAGGGGCTTGGGGGCTAGAACAGAAGTGGGG